GCTCGGCCCGCTCTGTCCGCCGTGCTGTCGCGACGCTATCCGATAAGGCTCACTGTCAACTCTGTCAAGCAGCCTCGCCGAAGCCTCGTCGCGGAGTCGCTCGATCGTGCGCAACACCCGTCCCGTGAAACGCGTTTTTCTCTCGCTAATCGCATCGAGATACTGCCGATAGTGCCGATACCGAATATGCAGTAGACGAACTCGCGAGTCGAGCGGAGAAACGCTGCTGAATTATTCCGCGGAGCTTTCGTGGTAATCGAATAAGTAACGGGGATTAATTAACCTCCGACATGTCGGCGTCCGAAACGGCGGTGATTTTCGCGAAGCTGGAGGCTTTGAAAGACATTAGGTATATGGGAATGCGATATCCTCTCACATATGTTCTCTCGTATGTTGCGTGAGAAATTTATTTGACGTTTCTTTCCTTTGTACTCGCGCAGGTCGAAGACCCTTCAATTGGAGAAGCTGAAACAGAGGATATTGCAAGAGGTGGAGCAGACCGAGCAAGAGGAGAAATGTTTATTAGAATACAAGCAAGAAATGGACCTGCTGATGCAGGAGAAAATGGCACACGTCGAGGAATTGCGTCAGATACACGCGGACATCAATGCGGTGAATTTATATTGCTTGGTTTTTTTGCTTCTGATAGGATACAATTATATAGAATTGTTAATAATAAGGCTCATACTCTATCAGATGGAATCAGTGATCAAGCAAGCGGAGGAAGCGCGTAACAGGGCGAGGGAAACTGCGAAATTGATTCACAACAATGATTATCAACCATTGAAACACGACATTGACCGTATGCGCAGGGAATTTTTGGGTTTGGAAAGGTTACCGGAGTTATACGAGACCGAGTCGGATCTTATCTCTCCTGAGTGAGTATCTTGATTATCACGAAGCTGTTGAAAATCAGCTGCGAGAGAAGCGCATTTAATATCAGCCGATAAGTGGAGAATGACATTACAGACTGAGCTGAGTTAAACTTTTATTGTGTAGACGGTTTGTTCATAGCTACTTTGAACGTCCGATGCAAAAGGCGGAGTGGAGAGTAGAGGTACGAGGTGATGACTTGTTACCGCCGCTCGGGCTGCACCATCCTGGCCATCCAGGTGGTTCCACGCCTTTCCTAGCTCCGCAACCACTTCAGGGGCCAAGCAAACCAGAGCCCAGACCGTTACCGCCAGCCCCAGGGCCGCCCGCTCCAACATTCAGGTACCACTGGTATATCTCGTCCCCTTATTACATTCTTCATGTAAAATTGAAAACATTATTTATTATCGATTCTGTAATAAAAAAAAGTATTTCCATCGCTTTACAGGCAACAACCGCCGCCTATGAAGTCTTGCCTCTCGTGCCATCAACAAATTCACAGAAATGCACCAATTTGCCCGCTCTGCAAAGCAAAATCGCGTTCGCGTAATCCTAAAAAACCAAAGAAGAAAGATTAATTGTAATTATAAGGTTATTTGTATGAATAATCCGCATTTCTATAATTCATCTTAAGGAGAGATATGTATTAATCAGTTTTGTAATCCATAGTAGCCATGCACTCTTATCGTATCATTAGCATTTGTAAGTGATAGCACAGCATTTATGAGAATCTATGTGTTTATATAATGTGTCAAATTTTTGACAACTTTTTTTAGAGTTGAAGGTTTTATTGTATTCATGTTACGAGATAAGAAGAAATGTAAGTTATACAAGAAGAAATGTAAGAAATGATAGTCAAATAATTTCTACTACAATAGAGAAATAAAAATAAAAATTTAGTATTTGACAACCAGTCTGATTCATCTTTGTCGTATCAAGTTTTAAGAATTTTATATAGTGCATTCAGCTTTTATTGTTAAGATAAAACAGAAAAGAAATAGCGTCTATAAAGAAGGGCAATATAAATTATTTATTATAACTTTATATTTGTTTTATTTCATTTTTGTTTTATTTTCATTAGTTATAAAATGTAGTAATATAAATACCACATACATTTTTATTTGCAATTAAGTATATTTAAGATATTTATCTAATATACAAGTATTAGAAAAATATGCCAATGCGTATATATGTATAGGCAACACTCCACAAATACGTAAATGAAATAATTTTTTCGGCTTTACTACTTCTCAAGAAATATTAGTCCTTTAATTTTATATACTTGTCATGTGATGAAAACAATCATAATTGCATTAAAATCAGATATTAGCATTGCCGCTTTTGCAATGTTCAAAGTCTTTTGACAATCCATATATTTTGTTCTTAACGGTCGGGAACAAAAAACATTTTTCAAAACTATAAAACATTAATTCCATATCTCAAGTAACCAGAAAATAGATGCGTGAACTGATAAATAATGTAAATGTTAATTTTTTTCACAAATTTTTGGTATATTGCCTATATATTATCTCGAAATATTGCATTTTATAAAATATGACTCGTTGCTTTACTTTCTAATTTAATTGCACTTAGAAAATATATATAGTTTATATTATTTGTATGTCAATTATATTATAAAATTTATATATTGTATTTTATTTGAGTTTTTTGACACCTATTCACCACGATTACGATATATATTTAATTATGGCTTTCTAATTTTGGTTGTGAGAAAATTATTTTTATCACAATTTTTTTACTTTACCGTCTTTTGAAATAGTCATAAAAAATTAAGTAGTAAATTAGCAAGTAGTAATATCTATGTTCTATGTGCTTATGTAATATCAACTATTCATTTCTTAATTAATGTAAAACAATTTTATGAAATTTTAGTTAGGTCAGTCTTTGCTCTTTAAGCTACACGAAAAAATAAAAAGCTGACTGTACCCTTTTACACTCTTGCATTGATTTATGTTGCATTTACGTATTATATTTATGTAAGCAACTAATAAAGTGCGCAATTCACAAATATTACAATAATCTAATGAACATTCCAACATTTAAATGTATCTTGAGCGAAAATAGTTATTATGCTAATAACAAAATAAAAAAATTTCAAATTTTTAATAAAGAATTAATTGATTAACAAGTCTCAGATAATCTTATAGTACATAATAAAATTTTATATCGCATAATATTTGCTATGGTTTAACGCATTTGTATGTATAATATTATTTTCCCAGTTTAAAAAAGATAATAGCGCTCTTATATGCTATTCTATTATAAATTTGTACATTACTCAAATTCTTAGACATAATTATAGCATTTATAGTTAATTTAATCTTTAAGCAATGATAAACGCAACTTTAAAATTTATAAAAGAGCAATAAGTATATAAAAATATACACAAACGATGGATTATTAAAGAAATTTACTTCTTGTGCAATTTTCTAACATTTTGCAATTAATAAAAGTCCTTGTAGAACTGGAGTTCAATGTGTATCAAACTCACGGTTTGTACAAGAGTATTTATCTATATCCACACACATACTATTTCCCCTAAATATTAATAAAAATCTCTAAACACTAAATCAATAACTGTGCAATATTTCGGAGTTATAACTTCTCTTTAAGCAAAAATACTGGAAGAACAATTCATGAATTTCACTTTGCATTATTTATGGCAAGTCTTTGTCTTTCATAATCCAAGTCTTACACATTAATATTTAACATCATATTATAATGAATATAACATTGGTCATTTCAAATTTATATAAAAAAAATATAATAAAATTTCAACAAATTATATTACTAGAAAGTTTTGAGCATTTCTGAGCAAAAGAATGTTTTCTCAATTATCTCAATTATTGTTATATATTTAGAACTATTCTGAGAAAGGCATCCGTTTCATTCTTAATCATATTTAGCGCAGAGTAACTTTCTATAAAATATCTATACATTTTAAGAATGTAATAGTAATCTGTATACATTCATAAAAAATATATAGATTAATTTGCATTGTTGCCTTAATAATATTTGTTGATATTTATGTACAATTTATTACGACAATTGCATATTGCACAAAAAGATAAACTTTCCTCGCCAACACACAACTTTCATTATCACAATTACGATGTGATATTCCGTTAAACTATACAGCTTCACGTGATGTTTGAGTATATTATCAGCTCTTAAATGGAATTTCGATATGTAACTAATGGAATTTCGATATCTTTTCCTTGACTGTTCGGCGCTTCATTGTTTTTCTTTAGCTCGCTTGGCGCGATCAAACGCTTATTTACGACTTGTAACCACAACATGGAAATAATTAGCATTACGCCAGTAATACCAAAAGTGTGATATGTTCCTAAGCGAGTATAAATGAAACCTACAAATACCGGACCTAAAACACGAGACGCACAACCCGCACCTGTCAATAAACCCATCCATACGCCTTGCGGACGCGGACCGAGAATTTTACTAAATATAGTTTGCATCAGAGTAACTCCTAGAGGATAACCTATGGCTGTAAAACCGTAACCAATAAGAAATTGAGTAATTGTAATTTGTGGTGTATATAGGCACCATTCCTGATTAATGGGGCATCCTACGATTTCTGTACCATTGGCATCTTCCGTAATATTATTATATGCTACAAGATATTGAAGCACTTTCATTACAAAATTATTACATAATATGCATAAACAAAACTACGTGCTAAATGTAAAAAATACACAAATATTGATTTATTTAGCAGATACTTACGTCCAAAATCTGCAATTATAGGAGGATCTGGACCCCATGGGATACATAGTACTCGTCCAATCACCATAAAGAAGAATCCACCCCATAACATTACTTTACGTTCCGCAAATCTATAAAAAAAGATTGCAAAATATATTTTATTTGATAGCATACAGAGTGTGAAAAATACTTTACAGCCACAAATATTTTAGAAGCAATAAAATAAAATAATTTTTGTACAAGTATTGATTGTGTTGAAGAGATTAAGATTTCATTATTAATTACCTCTGACAAAGTGGTCCAATCATTGTAAATGTAATACAGGATATCACAGCTCCGACGCTCATTAGTATTCCCATATAATACAGTGCTTCTTTTTTAGTCCAAGCAAACTGATCCATGGTAAGAGAAGTAGCAAGACTATATAAAAAAGTATATATATATATATATATATATATTTAAACCTTTTATTTGGCAAACCGAGATTTCAGTCAATGGTCTTAATTTTAACATTTTGCAATAAATGTTAAATTTACTTTTAAAAGCAAATTCTTAATTTTATTTTTATTTAAAAAATGCTATCATTGTTTTCCAGTCATTTCATTTAATTACAATTTTGATTTAAGTTCGATTTTATTTTAGTTATATTGAGTCGATCTAATCTTTTATCCTTATAAATATTAGAAAATGAATGCACTTACGTCTCAAGAAGAACAAAATTAAAAACTAAAACAAAGAATGCACAAATTAAAGTCCATGTAGCCAAATAATCTGGTTTTATAGCTTTCCACGTTTCTTTTTCTGCAAATGCAATAAATTCTGTTGTAAACAAAATCTGATAAAGAATCGGCAATAAAATCATGAAAAATGTTTAGAGAAAGGTATTTTTAATATAAAAATGGAGTAAAATTAACTTATGATTAATCTTCACACATTAATATAATGCTTTAAATTATATCAAATTTAAAGAAAAATTATAATTACATGAATTTATTACATACCTGTAGCTTTACCCTCATTACGCATAGCTTCTTTTATAGCAATTTTATGTTCCTTAAAGTTCCATGGTAATAAAAAGATTAAATTAAAAATTCCCATTATCACGTTAATCCAACCAGCTGCTGTATACATGTTTAAAGGAAGCATCATAAATGTTACACCATGGTCTCCAAGAGGTGTTACAGCAGCCTGCAGTCCAGGACCCACTACAAAACCTAGAACCTACAAAATATATTGCTTCTTTATCACATGTATTCGATCAATATTAATTACTGTCTGTATAAAAGTACATAAACTTTAGTACAACTGTATTAATTTATTTCAAATTAATGACATAAAAGATTATAGTTTTTTTATATACTATATCAATTTTTATCTATATATGTATATATAATTTATACATTTTAATATAAAAATACAGTGACAAAAAATTACCTGTGCTAAGGATACCATAGAAACTGCATGTGTGCGTTCTGAAAGTTTTGTGGCTGCAGATAGATAAGATCTTGCTACGGCAATATTAGCTGCAAGAAATGAAACATGCAATTAATTCAAAAGCAAAATATCTTAAATATATAAATCTTAATATAATATAAAAATGGGAAAAAACCTACCAGAACTAACACCAACAAAGAATCTGGCAACAAGCATGTAATTCTTTTTATCGCCAGGTATTATTTCAAGAATACTGTAAGCAGCTGATGAGATAGTAAACAATGCTAAAGTCACTAAAAGTGGCAATCTTACTGATCCTCTTTTATTGCCCCACCAACCTACCAGAGGTGAAAATAACATTTGTCCAAGTGGATTAGCTGCCACCACATAACCCATAAATTCTTTTCCTGCTGTAGGATCCAACTAAAATACATATATGTATTTAAGTACATACAATATCCCACTTATGCGTAATTTTTATAACCTTTCTCTCTCTCTCTCTCTCTCTCTCTCATTACATATATTGCCCATGTGTACTACATACCTTGCCTAAATATGGCCAAACCCCAGTAAGTATAATACTGAAGCCAAGAGACATCAAGAACATAGTAAAATAAATCATGTAAACGCTCCTCCATCGTTCTTTTCTTTCAAGCTCAGTCTCTAAGTCGTCAATAGGAAGTTCAGTTTGCCTAAAAAAATTCAATATTTTATGTAAACATATACATATGCATTAAATAATTTATTTTTAAAAGCATCGTGAGTACCTCAAAATAAATATCTAGCTAATAAAATTACTTAATTAAAATTAATTGCTTTTTTAAATTACAAAATTAGCACTATTTTATAATGAACAATACTTTATTTGTAAGAATATCTCTAATAATAATCAGTATAATAAAAATTTAAATATAATTTACCTTCTGATAAAAAATTTCTTACAACGATCCATTAAAAAATTGTTTTGTACTATCTTCTTCTACATTTAAAAGACTGGAAGTTTGTTGTAAAGGTACGAATTTCAATACCTTTACAAAGCATCAGCACACACAAAACACCAACCTGTAAATAAAAAGAAATGTGTAATTAAGCTTTTACTATATTAAAATTGTATTACACACACATAGTTCTACTTAATAAAATACTAAGGTATATTTAAATATCTGTAATTTATATTAAGTGGTGATTAATAGAAGAATAATAATGTATATAATAATAATTATAAAACATCAGGAAGAAGATATAATATAATATAAGTGATAAAATACCATAATTTATATATCTTAAAAAAATAGAATACTTTTCTTTCTACATAAATAGCTGAATAAAAAATTAGTGAAAAAGCGTATTTTAAATTATATAATTACTAGAAAGAACCAAACAGAAAACTCCTTGTTTTAATATTGATGCTAACAGAACTTGAGATATGTAGTGTAGCATCTCTATTGACGGGAGACATTACAGTGCCTCTTGATAAGAGATAACCAAGACTGCTGATAGATTAAGCTTTCAGAATACAGACAGCTCTTTAACGAGGTAAAGGAAACATATGTATGTATAAATAATTCTATAGGACATAAACTAATTGTGAAATATATCATTAATTATAAAAAATTAAAATAAAATTAAAAATTAAAACATTTTACTACATTAATGAAATTTATTTAAAAGTCGGTAAGTAAAAATAATTAACAACTTTGCAGTTTATTTCAAATATCATTTCATCAAGAGTTTGATTTAAACTTTTTATAGCAAGCTATGGTCCAATAGCTTTTCAATTCTAACACACAGATAAATATTTTTAACATTACGATTTTTTTAATACACATATTTTTAATTTAATACATTTTTATGCAATTTACATTTTAATAAAATAATTTTTATCACATTTTTTATTTTGAAGAAGTTACATATAAATAAAGTGATCTTGATCTTCCACATAGATATTAGTTCTGCATAAATCATTTTATGCAAATTAAAACTGCTATTGTAAGTAAATTTGCATATCATTACATATCATTACAAGTGGAAACAAGACAAAGCCACAATTAAGCCAGGGTAATTACATACTCGATATTATATATGTAATATATATATATACACTTAAAATAATATTCTCATAAAAGATAATACAAATTGTGCTAGAATTTACATAACCAATAATAAAAGAATGCGATCACACAAAGAAAACGTGTAATTTTACTAATAAAAACATTAAGAAAAAACTAGAATAACTAGATAATATGGAGCATAGATTTAGAAAATAAATTATTAACCAAAGATTCAACGATAAATAACGATAATAACATGGAAACATAATGATAATCCACAAGGAAAACACACAAAGAACATTTGAAAATCTACATTTAAATATTTTGTTAACAATTTGGGATGCGTGTCTCACAAATATCGCATTTATCATTGTATTCTAATTCTATTTACTTACAAAATTGTTCTTTAGTCTTTGTTCTAACATATGTATTTTATCTATTAATAGTCACGGATATTGCTGGCATTTCAAGCACTTATGTCGCTGTATGTCATACCCTTCACCGTCGTCCCGCCTACGTTAAAGATTCTGGTTCTGAACCTCGCGTATTTGCCGAGGCGATCTTCTGTCAAAAAAACCTCGACTTCTTCTTTTCTCCCTTTCTCTC